TTGAGAGAGACGATGGGCCCGCTGATGAGATAGTCAGTTGTTTAGTCAGAATTCCGGTTACAGCTACAGTTTAAAACGTACGTAAATTAAACTTAGTTCAAATCGCATTTCAGTGGGGAGTGCAGCTGAGAGCCGAAGACCTGAGGATCCCGGGGAATCCCCGGTTACCCGGTGATCCCAGGAGTGCGCCAACACCGTATTGCGTCAGTCAGTCGTTTGCACTTTGTAAAAGTAAAAGTAAAAGTAAAAGTAAATGAACAAGAACAAGAACAAGAGAAAGATGGTATCATTGTAATCATGTATGTCAACAAGTAAAAAATACATATTCTTTTGCGTATAATACATAAACTTCAGAACGTGGATCCTGATGAAATGGGAGGCAAGAAGAAAGAAGTCAAATAAAGTTAAAGCATTTAAAAAATAAAAAAAATCACGGCAAAACAACCTAAAAGTAAAGAAAAAACAAAAAACGAAAAAGAAAAAACAAAAAAATTGCGTAATAAACTTTATAAATCAAGTAATGAAAAAAAAGTAAACAAAAACACTATAACAAATTTTTGTCTTATTATGTTTAAGTCCCTAATTTATATACAAACAAAAATAAGAATGATTTAAATAACATATATGTAAACTATGCATTAGTGAAAAAGTGGAAAAACTATTTATATATAATATGATGGCCATATAAGCTATAACAATAAATTGAAAAACACCTTTAAATCTTATAATACATTTATAAATGTTTAACAAAATCTTAACAAATACATTCATAGAATTGCGGCAGTAAGGGCATTAAAGCATTAAAGCATCATGGAAATAATTTGAGCATTTCATCCCTCTCACCACAATTGATACAGTTCGATTTTTGTTCATTTTATTCTCCTAAATTCTTATGAGGTTTTACAACGTATATGGCTTATTCGAGGTTTGAAAAAATGCAAAAAACGATTGTAGAATGCAACCAAACAACCAAAAAAACTAAAGCTTATATTGTGAAAATACTGATATTGTCTTGCTGTCTTACGAATATACTGAATCATCAAGTTCTTATCTACTTTTATACTTTGTTTTTTTTTTAAATTAATTTTAAGCGGTAATAGGAAATTCGCTGAAACCAATTCCAGCATTCTGAAATCCTAGTTATACCATAGTTCATTGAAAACTGTAATAAACTTAACTAGTTTATTGACCTTCTCGAAGTATTTTTTTAACGATAATATGTTGGTCCGATAGGTAAATTGTGATTTAAAGTGAATAGTTTTTCAAGCAACGAGATAACGAGGAATCCTAAACCAGTCCCCACAAAAAAAGAAAACCAATCAAAAAATCTTAATCAACATTTAAAATGGACAAAATTGTGTATTTTTACCGAGTTTTGATGCTTGATAATATTGAACCGAATATTCCTATGTATATGTGTAACTATTGGTAAGCTTATTTGAGCTCTGCTTTTTCACCATAGATGGACTTACTTATTTTTAGTACATTCTGGACATTCTGGACGGCCATTTAAAAACTAATGCTGTTTCAAAACTATGAATAAATTATGAAAAGAAACCTTTGTAACATTTAAATAATAAAATATAATAAAACCAAAAAAAAAAATACGATAATCTTATTGTTTAACTTAAACAAGGAGTAATTCAAGTTGATCTATTTTGCGAAAAATTAAAAATGCGCCAAAGTAAGTCCATCTAAGGTCAATAATAATAATTACGTACACGCACTTTACGAATTGTCAGGAATTTTTTACTCCAGCAGTAAGTTTAATTAACGTATTTTTCTATCACAGCCTAAAAGGAGCAAAGTAACGTGTTATTTCTTTTTTAAATATTTTTTTTAAGAGTACTTTGTTATTAGAACGCGCATCCCTCAACCCTCAAGTATGTTAATATCAGAACCCTTCTCTATGTATGTGTGTTTCCGTGTAAATTTAATTATGTATACGTTATGTTTACACATATATATGCCACACCGATCATATATATTTGCGCATATATGTATTGTAATTTAATTACTGTTTTATTTGTCTACCTAAAAAATCGACAAATTGAATAAAATGGTTTATTTGTAATTAGTTATTAACAATAATTGAGAAAGCTGTCAACAAAACAAATTGAAATTTGAATAAAACATGGTCATGTAATAAACATACATACAAACATACATATTTAAATGAAAACTGAAGATTACTAACATTAATTTATAATTTGTGTCATAGCCGTCAACTCAGCGTTATATCTAGAATAAATAATAAAGAAAATTGTGTTAAGCAAATGCTACATACATATATCATTTAATGTACGTGTGCACGTATGTACATGCCGAAAACATTAATTAAGAGTTTGGTCTGTCAGGATTAACGGGTTAATAAAACTGGCATGCTAATAGTCATACATTTATATGCAATCAAATTACATTTTTTTTCAATTAAACACTTGGTCATTTCACATCAGCATTGACTTACCTGCCACATTGTAGTTATACAAGCTTATTTAGTTTTGGGATCCCATTATAAAAGTATTTCAGAACCACCATACTTTTAAATATTGTAGGCTAACTTAACTTGAAATTAAATTATATACTTACTTTTAAACTGATCTAGTTTCCATTTTTCTGTTAATAAGTGTAAATCAAAGTAAATGTTTCCAAAATGTTATATTTTTCTTTTAATTTATTTATTTTGAAATGGATTAAAAATTTGTTTTTCTTCTTTTAACCAATTTTAAACAATCCATCGTATGATCTTAATTATAGTTTTGGAAAAGTTCTAAAGAAATTAAATTTTAAATATTAGTATGGAGTAAGTTCAAAACAAATAGGATTATATTTATGGTTTCCTAAAACTTTAAGGTATCAGCTTTAATAATAGAAAACCTTAGAACACAGTAGTGGTATTCTGTAGAATGACAGTAGCCTAGTTCGGCTTGTGACGTCAAGGAGCTCGCCATCTGTAACGAGGTTTCTGGGTTAAAAAGTCGAGGTGGAATGTTGACGTGAGGTTCAACAACCCCACTTCAAGAGTTTCATTAAATTGTGTAAGTAGCTCCTTCAACTTATGTAGGTACTCAACTTGAAGGCAGAACCTCTTTTACGGATTTACCACGATCTCATCGGTTCTTTCTGGTAAGAGATATATTATTTAAAAACAAGTAAAGCTTTATTATTTGCCTAATAAAATACAAAGTTCCATTGAAACTCTTCACTACCATTTTAGGTAGTAAAATACCCACAAAAAATAAAAAATCGATGGACTACAGGTGATAAGAAAATTGGTTGGAAATCAAAAACCAATGCTTCATCAAAAAAGTAACCGCCTTTTGACCCAACCTTCTGCCTACATAGTTTATCGTCACACCAAACGTAAAAGCTATAATTCAAAAGTCCCGCCAACAAAATTAAAAATCATATAAAATGGAAAAAACCCCAAGTGGCTTCAACATTTTTATTTATTTTTCAGACATCCTTTGCTTACGTTTTCATAAATGGATCGTTTTTTGTTTAAATTGCCACCGTTATATTAATAATTCAGGGTTGCACGGGATAACCATCAGCTGAATATCGCACATACTCGCGTGTTTGCTATCGATAACGATAGCATTAGATATCGCGCTAAGCAAACAGCAAACAGCTGTTTATTAAATGCTTTGGAATCTTCCAATAGAATTACAAAAATTATACATTTCGGGGTTTTATGTAACATAAAACCCCATAAACTTTTTAATGTCGCTTTATTTAATTCATTCATCTTCATCTTCATTCATCTGAAGAATTCACGTTATATTATATTTAACCTCTAACAATGTTACATTTAAATTTTTCCATAGCCCATTACATATGTATGTATATACATTTGACTGTGTTTAAACATTTATGTATGTTATCTGGATTTGCTTCTGTTACATGGGAATCAAAAAAGTTAATGATATTAAGATTTCATCACAAAGTTATTTAATTTCAGTTTTAATAGTTCATGGAATTTTGTGACTAATACAATGCATTACAATATGAAATCGGAATTCATGAAATATAGTAGTTGAGCTGTCAGGTGTTTTTCCACTATTCCAAGGGATGATAAAAGCTCTATTGAAATCGAAAGTTAAAAATGAAATGAAATATGTACATATGTATTTACAAATATGTATTTTGAATTTTGAAGAGGGTCTTAATTAACAGCAATAAATTGTTATGAATAATACAATAACGCTTGAGATAAGAATATTACCATACTCATAAACATACATACATACGTACATATCTATACACATACATAGTACAATGTACACTCATAACTCGTATGTATGACTAAATAATAAAGAATTATTCAATTTAGTGAGTTATTTTACTTGTAGGGATATAAACTTAAGTTAAGATTTTTATATTTGCGCGTACATTTGTACATAATTTCAATTATTTTTAATCAAGACATGCTTATGTTTGTATGTTTATACCTGTGTACATATATAAATACCGGCAACCAAACTTGGAGTGTATGAATTTTCATATGTATGTACGTATGTTTGGATGTGCAGTTTCTAAATTCGCATGCTCTCTCCAAGCTCAAAAAAGCTCAAATTCCAGCAACAAAATTGAGTAGGTGAAATGGAGTGTACATAGAAGATAATACAACAAACATTTTTTTAAAAAGCCAAAAGCCAAAAAAGCTTTTTTAAAAAGATATTTATTTACTTTGTATAATATCCTTATGTTATTCGTGCCAATTTTAATAATATTCTAAAAAATTGCACAAAATATGGAAGGATGTTAAATATATGTATGTACATGCAAACAAACTGACCAATGAAGAGCTCTCTTGAAAAAATAGTGGTTAATTATTATTTTTAGGCAATATATTCAAAAATACCTTAATTTTAATTAATTTTTTTTGGTTGCCCTCTTGTTTGTTTATACCAATATTAATATTGTTCCAGAACATTCCGCAAAAGAAGTCTACTGGGTAGCACTGAGCTTTGAGATTGATGAGAGCCAAAGCTCTTTTTATTGCGGTGGTCTGACACGCACGTCCTTCATCTGACTTTGAAAATTTTCTCGCCCAAGTTTTCGCCCATAGAAAGTGCTCAAAATTTCTCAGCCAGCACAGTCGATTCCTCGCTAGCAAGCCGAAAGGTAGTGGATCTCTCCTCTTTTCCAACACTTTTTTCCACCAATCTTTTTCATTAACTACATTTACTTATATATGTGTATATACTATATTGTTTTCTAGATAAACAAAGAAGTTAAACATGTCGAAGATCGGAATTAACGGATTTGGACGCATCGGTCGTCTGGTGCTGCGCGCCGCCATCGATAAGGGAGCCTCCGTTGTGGCCGTCAACGATCCCTTCATTGATGTGAACTACATGGTCTATCTGTTCAAGTTCGACTCGACCCATGGACGTTTTAAGGGCACCGTTGCCGCCGAGGGCGGTTTCCTGGTCGTCAACGGCCAGAAGATCACAGTCTTCAGCGAACGCGACCCGGCCAACATCAACTGGGCCAGCGCTGGTGCCGAATATGTTGTGGAGTCCACCGGTGTCTTCACCACCATCGACAAGGCTTCCACTCACTTGAAGGGCGGTGCCAAGAAGGTCATCATCTCGGCCCCATCCGCCGATGCCCCCATGTTCGTGTGCGGCGTCAACCTGGATGCCTACAAGCCCGACATGAAGGTGGTCTCCAACGCCTCGTGCACCACCAACTGCCTGGCTCCCCTGGCCAAGGTGATCAACGACAACTTCGAGATCGTTGAGGGTCTGATGACCACTGTTCACGCCACCACGGCTACCCAGAAGACCGTCGATGGACCTTCCGGCAAGTTGTGGCGTGATGGACGTGGCGCTGCCCAGAACATCATTCCAGCCTCCACCGGAGCTGCCAAGGCCGTTGGCAAGGTTATCCCTGCCCTCAATGGCAAGCTCACCGGCATGGCATTCCGCGTTCCCACGCCCAATGTGTCCGTCGTCGATTTGACTGTGCGTCTGGGCAAGGGAGCCTCCTACGATGAGATCAAGGCCAAGGTTCAGGAAGCCGCCAACGGACCCCTGAAGGGCATCTTGGGCTACACCGATGAGGAGGTGGTCTCCACCGACTTCCTCAGCGACACCCACTCGTCGGTCTTCGACGCCAAGGCTGGCATTTCGCTGAACGACAAGTTCGTCAAGCTGATCTCTTGGTACGACAACGAGTTCGGTTACTCCAACCGCGTCATCGATCTGATCAAGTACATGCAGAGCAAGGATTAAGTATGGAGAACACCCATCCAGAATACCAATACCCATCCGCACAATATGAAAGTTAAAGTTAGATGAGCGGTAAAATGGGGTGAGACACATCAGAAATGGATCAGTTATGGATCACATAATATTATTATTGCTCCCCGGTGGAGCATCACGTATGCGCTATGAAATATGCTTCTGTTTTCGCTCTTCAATTTACCAGCCACAAAAAAAAAAACACATTGGAAAAATTAAAATACATACATCCATATACACATAAATATGTTTACTGTTGTTGAATAAAGTTTCACTCTGTGTGTAGTTGTAAAAAAAAAGATTTCCAAGCATTTAAATATTTTGTTTGGCCTTTTTATTTGAAATACGTAACAGGAAATCGTGGAATTGTAAGCTAAATACATATATTGTTTGATAGTTTGGGGAAATTTTAAAAACCATTATTGATTATGTATATATTCCTGAAAGTTTTCCACCCCGATTTTGATGTCCATAATACCATTTATAGTAAAGACTTTTTACATAATTTTTATTTTTTGTATATTTTTTATAGGATGGTTGAAAATTGTCTTTTTTTGGGAATGGCATTTTGCTTTTTAAGATACATCATTGAATTCTTAATTTCAAAATTATAAAAATTAGAAATTCCTAATTATAAGCTTTCAGCTTTCCAAAATACCAACCATATCCCAGGGATGATCCCAGTAAAATTGGAATATAATTGAGTTATCGATACCTGTATCTCGAAAAATATATATATTCCTTGGCAGATTTTTCAAGTAATCATTTTTTATGGAGACGTTTCTGGTTATTTAATTTATTGAATTAAAGATTTTAAATTGATTGTGTAGCCCGGGTATGTTATGCTCTTGGTATTTATTTTTTTTACTTTTAAAACTTTTTTACTTTTTATATTTAAAATTGAATATCAAAAATTGCAAAATTTAAAATTTAAAATTAAAAAGATCGGTTTTTTCAACTAGAAGGCAGCCAAACGCAGTTTTTATCCGGTATCAACGCGCGTTTTCCCCTTTCAATAGGTATCGATAAATATTCCCTGGGAATTCTGGTATTTTATAAAATACTGAGAGTCCCAGCAAAAGCGCTAGCCCAAAATCCGATAACACACCGTTTATCGATGTATATTAATATACCGAATTATGTATACTTTTCAGTATATAAATACTGAAATCGCAACGCAACTGGCATGGCATGTAAATAAAATAATCAATTGACGAAACCCTGAGATAAAATGTGAATTATTGAAAATGCAAATGTAACAACTGGACATTAACCATCGTAATACGCGAAGACGATTGGTTCCTGCTAAATGTGAATTAAAGTGGTCGAGTGAAAACGCGTTAACTTGTGTAAAACTGGAGTGGCAAACAAAGAGTATGTTTCCCGAGTGATTTTGTGTATGAGTTGGACAAATTTTCACCAGTGAAAATAAAATAAAACATTTGTGCGCCCCCGTAAAACACAGAATTTAGAATTCTCATCTTACGTATGGGCAGAGTGAATATAATCTGTATACATATTGGTATATATGCACATACATATGTGCGTTGGAAATATATGTGCGGATCTCATTTATAATTAATAATTACAAACGGTGTCAAAACATCTCGGATACTTTCGTTAACATTGAAAAGCTGCTTTTGAGGGATTTTAAAGTGAATTATACAGATGTATGGAAATTTTAATAGATGTTCCGTTGCACATGTGCAACAGTGCGTTTCTCTATACATATGCCCATCTATTTTGGTATATGTAAATTTAACATTTCAATGTTGTCCATGAATAAGTCACACGAAGTGTTTTTCAATTGAAATAACGGTGAAAAGCGTTAGAAAAAAAAAACCCCAAAAGTGTGTGTATTTGCCTAAACATACGAACTATTTATAATATACATATATACATATGGGACGTTCCATGTCGTATTGGCAACTTTGTGTGTACATAAGAGAGTGTGTATGTATGTATGTATTTGGTGGACCCGAGAGAAACGAAATAATAGAATGCAAAACGCTCGTTTTAAGGGTTTTAAAAGTGTATCAGTGAAAAATTTGCAAGAAATAAATGTTCTACATTTCCTTGCTGTTAAGAAACTATATTTTTTTTAAGTGAAATATTTGGTTTTTAATAGTTAAACAATTTGTTTCCCATTTTTCACTCAGTTGGAATGTCCTATTTACTTTCGAACATACATACAAACATATGTGGGTCAATGTAGACAATGCTCATGAAAACTATGTACATAATATAACGTTGTTTGTTTTGTCGGTATGTATGTACACCCATGTCCAGCGATATGTATGCGTTAATACCTCCCAAATAATATCTTCTAGGTTACAACATTGTTTATTAGCTTGCATTGCATTTTCAAGGCTGAATTTTGCAGCCTTCGTTTTTCCACCAGCAAGAAAAATCCAATCATGAAGGAGTTCTGAGAGCTGGGGGATTAAAGCTTGCCCATCGGTGGGCTTCTTATCAAAAACTGCAAACAATTGGATCTCGAAGACTGAATGCAATAGCACAGGTTTGTACCAAGTGATAAGAAATAAGCTGAACTTATTGAAAAGTTACTTAATCTGCCAAAAATATATATGTAAATTGTATATACATATGTAGGTGGGTTCCATAAATAACAGTTGCGGGGGGCGGAAAAGGCGTGGTCAAAATATGTTACCAGCATTTCTCAATTTTTTTAAATTCCCACCCAATAGGAATTCTAATATCTTGATATTTACAAGTATTAAAAAGATTTGTTTGTATAGTCATTCCTTCATTACTCATTAGTTTATCTTTTGCAAAGTCTAATATCATTTTTAAAAATTAAAAATAATATACAGCCCATTTCCTTTAAGGTTCAGTACTTCCTCTATTATTACCGAGCATATGATATCTATTAGTTTATAGAAACTAAAACAATAACATTTAAGATAAAGATACAAATAGCTTCAGTCTACTTACAAAAACAACTTTTTTTCAGATAAATCTGTCAGGTGTTATCATGTCCACAGGAAAATACCTTTTCCTTAAGGGTTCCAGGACTTTGAGGTCCCAAAAGCTGAATTTATAAAATGCACAAACAAGGTACTTAGCAAATAATACCCAAAATTAAGAATTTTTTAATCCCGAAAATATTATTTTCATCAGAATCTGGTTGTTAACAACGCGCTGCTACAAGAAAACCCATATATACCGACACAATAGACATGAAAGTAAAAGATATAATGCCGTGTGCATGCCCTGCATAAAAACATAGACACCAAGTACCGCAGTAGGTCTAGTATTTGGCATCTGATCCGGATCAGCCGGCCAGCCCACACACACTCAGAATGGGAGCCAACACGTCGAGCAGCAGCTATCCCACGGTGGCCTCATCGGGAAGCGGGGGAAACAGCAATTCCAGCAGCTCGAATGGCAACCTATCCGCTCTGCCCATGGGCATGGGCGAGATGTCCGGCGGAGCAGGTGCTTACGGCAGTGGCAGTAGCTGCGGGCCAAGTGGGAATGCCGGTGGAGCTCCGGGCATCGTCATCAGTGGAGCACACTACCATCGGGATCAGAGAAGGAAGCGTGCCACCGGCTTTGCCACCCTCAAACGCAAGTTCATACGGCGACGGCGCTCCTCCAAGGCCTGTGATCACGCTCGCGTGCTTAGAGATTTCGTCTCCGATTGGGCACCCGTGGAGCTGGCCGCTCTGTGCGAGGAGTTCGAGGCACTGTCGGCTCTGAGGGATTTGTCGGTTAGCATAACATTTCCTTTTAATCCCTTACTTGATGATCTGTTAACCGAATTGTCTTACAGGTGCAAGCCGAGTTGGCACGACCGCCGGCAGCCACATTTAAGCAGGACCTGGCCGCCATCTATGAGAAGAATCTGTGCACCGATTGTGATCTGGTCTTTCGTGGAACGATATTCTCAGTCCATCGTGCAATATTATCGGCACGTTGTGTATATTTTCGGGACCTGCTGGCAGGATGTCCTGGTTTCGGAGCGCGCATATGTCTTGAGCTACCCACTTCCCCCATAGATGTGCAACTTTTCTCATCGCTCTTGCGCTACCTATACACCGGTGATCTTTGTCCCCACGATCCGAACATTGACATTGGTCTATTGCGACAGTTGGGCAAGGATTTTGGAACTCCGAATCCCCTCGAGCACGATCTGCGCTATTTGCTGGAAACGGGGGACTATGCGGATGCAGCCCTTGTCTTCACGGCGGATGGGAGCAACGATTATCTGCGACAGGATTCGGGCACCTCGGAGTACGGCTTCCGGCCGAAGATCGAACTGCCATGCCATAAAGCGATCTTAAGCGCGAGGTCACCATTTTTCCGGAATCTAATTGCGCGTCGTACACGCAATATTGATGAGTACGTGGAGCGTTCGTTGCATGTGCCCACACGCATCGTATTAGATGAAACTGTTATACCAAAAAGATATGCGCGTGTACTGCTGCAGGCCATCTATCTGGACTCAGTGGACTTGACATTGATTTTGCGTGGCGTGGGATCGGGCACATCGGCCGGTTCCCTAGGGGAGGTGCACGCTCTCACCAACACAGGACGGGTAAGACCCACAACGTTGGAGGAGGCCATGGAGTTATATCAGATCGGTCGTTTCTTGGAGCTGGATATTTTGGCTCAGGGCTGTGAGGATTTGATTCTGGAATGGCTATCGATTGAGACGTTACCCACAGTCCTGAAGTGGGGTTGCCAGCCCTATGGATCCGCCTGGGTCTTTCGCCAAGCTTGTCAGTATTTGCGGGAGGAATTCGCCGCTGTGAGCTCCTCGCCCGTGTTGCATCAACTCGATAAATCTCAGTTAATACATATTCTGCATAGTAACTTTCTACAAGCCTCCGAACTGGAGGTACTGCAGGCCGTACTCAAGTGGGGTGAGCAGGAGCTCATTCGGCGCATGGAGGATCGGGAACCGAATCTGCTGTCCCATACAGCCCACTCGGTGGCGCGCAAAGGGGTGAAGAAACGCGACTTGAGCGACATAGAGCTGCGCGAGATACTCTCTGAACTGTTGCCGCTGGTGCGCATGGATCATGTCCTGCCGCCGCACTGCGAGGTCCTCTGCCAGGCGATTCGCCGGGGTCTGGTGAGCACACCACCATCGCACATGATCGGCGATGATCGAGAGAACTTACGTATCAATGCCTGGATTCGTGGGGGCAAAAACCAGGGGCTGTACGTGCGGCCCCGCCTATTTATGCCCTACTTCGAGGAGGTCAAGGCCCTGCTG